CTCGGGCGGGGCCAGGGCGAGGAGAACTCCGCTCCCAGAGATCTGACGCTCCAACAAAAAGGGGAGCGGCGGGATTTGGGGGCCGTGTTCGGCCTCTGGGGGCCCTCGCTAGGCCTCGGGAGCGTCAATTCAGCGACTCAGGACGAAGAACCGGCCCTGGGGAAGTGGTCCAGACCTCCAGGGCCCACGCACCGAAAAAATTGGAGCGGCCAGATGTCTGGGGGCGGGGCCAGGGCGAGCGTTCTGGAACGCGCTCATGGCGTTCTGGAACGCTCTGAGACGGCCGCGGCGCCCGATACATCCTCCAGAGCCGCTGGATCTCAGAGATTCTCGATTTATTATCACCCGATTCTATCCTCGTCATGGCTTCGTCGTACACATCCGTCTCCCAAGACCCCTCGGGTCATGAGGAAATCGCGACGGAAGGTTTGTGGCTATCTTCAGCCTCTGGCCTCGGGGCCGTCGGCAAAACGACTCAAGATGACCTACCAGTGCTGGGGAATGGATCGAAGTCTCTTGGGGTCGACGTTAGGACAAAATCATGACGTCTTGGGTCTGTGTCCACCGCTTCGGGGTCGTGCCCTGGGGAGGCGCTCCAGGGATGGCCTCGCTCTCGACTTCGGGGACCCCGTGCTAAAACATCAGGACATCGCATGTCCGGGGCGTCAGGTCCCGAGCGGCGATCACATCCGCATCCGCGCCCTCGCGGTCTGGGCTCCAGGGCGCGATCCTGCGGACACGCCGTCGCACGGATACGTTCCGCGCGGGGCATCCGCGAAAAAGCGCTCCGTATCTGCGGGGTCGCGGCCCAGGGGCCCGGCCCCCGAGGCCCGAGTCTGCCAGAGCTCCTTTTTTTCGCCGCCGCCTTCTAACGTGAAGTCGGGCCTGTCCCTCCACGGGAGGAATATTCATTAATAGTCCAAAAATAGTCTGGGATTGTTTTTTTTTACATTTGAACTTGTTTTGTTTTTTCTTGCATTTTTGCCGAATATGTTTTATCTGTCCTTCGAAACCCTCCTGGAGGAGGACCTGCTCGACCTCATCCTAACGTGGGACCCAGATCTCCGGCGACCTGCTTTGTTCAGCCCTCGGTTTCGGCCCCTGGGGCCCGTCACATCGGGCCCCTCAAGGCCCGAGGTGCAGCCACGGGCACGGGCCCCAAGGGCCCGCGGTGGAACGGCGTCGGACCATCGTCAGATCTCTGGTGAGGAGGGCTCCGAGGCCGGAGGAAGAGAAGATACCCTCTGCCGCTACCCCTCCCTCGCCGCTGCCGCAGGGATTCGCCTCGGGGTCCTGGTCAAAAGGAGCCCTGGGAGGCGCCCAGGGAGGGGAGCAGCTGTAGCAGCACCCCGTTGTGCTGCCCAGATCCGTACATGATCGCCCTGGGGCCCGAAAACGAGACCCCGGGGGCCGAACTTGAGGAAAATCACTCGTATTGAACAACAAACCGTCGGAGAACTGGGTAGCTTTTGGTTTGTTTCCCCATGGCCCATGGCCGTTCCAGGCTCCGTGGGATGCTTGGGGCGGGAGCTCGCGCCAGATTTCGGAGCAGGCCCCGTCGTTTTCATCCTGGCTCCGTCTCGCGGGGGGGAGGGGGACAAGGAGGAGGGGGGGGAGGAGGCCCAGGAGGGAGGAGGTGGGGTGACAAGGGTATAAGCGGCGACGGCAGGCGAGATCGAACGAATTACTGCTTCAGATCGGCGATGCGAGGAGGAGTAGGAGGAGGAGGAGGAGGAGGAGGAGGAGGAGGAGGAGGAGGAGGAGGAGGAGACGCGATGAGGAGGAGAAGGGGTGAAGAAAGGCGGGAAGGAAGGAATCAGGATGACAAGGAGGAACAGGAGGAGGAGGGGGAGGGGGAGGAGGAGGTGAAGGAAGAACGGAAGGTAGGAAGATGATGATGATGATGATGATGATGTTGATGATGGTGATGATGACGATAATGATGATGATGCTGCTGCTGATGATGATGCTGATAATGATGATGATGCTGATGAGGATGAGGATGAGGATGGTGGTGGTGGTGATGATGATGACGATGATGACGATGACGATGATGATGCTGATGATGATGATGATGATGATGATGATGATGCTGATGATGATGATGATGATGATGATGATGATGATGATGATGATGATGATGATGATGATGATGATGATGATGATGATGCTGATGATGATGATGATGATGATGATGATGATGATGATGAGGAGGAGGCGGTAAGGCTCCACTGAAACCTATGTTTCAACGATTAGGAGAATGAGGAGGAGGAGGAGGAGGCGGAGGAGGCAGAGCATGAGAAGGCGGAGGAGGCGGAGGAGGGCCAGTGAACACCCAAGACGCACTAACGATTTTGCAATACACTCTCCCTCCGAGTTCCCTCCTCACAGGTCACTCGAAGAAATCACCTGCATTGCAGGACATGTCTCATTGGACGACAACTGTCTAAGAATCTTCAATTCTGCCAGAAATAGAAGGCTCGCTCCTGGGACTTCCGCGCCGCGAATGCCCGTGACCGCTGCGTCCTAGCAGTCCTGAAGGGTTCCAGGACGCCCTTCCTGGGACTCCAGCACCGCGAACGAAGTTTTGACTGTTGCGTTCTGCCAATCCTGACTCTTGCCAGAGCACCGTTTATGGGATTTTGGCCATGCCAATCTTTGAAACTGCTGCAGCAGTTTGAGACACATGTGCGCGGCGTTAGGGCGAGAGGCACATTTTGAAAAGGGCCCGCCCTCCATCATTGAAGCTTCTGCAAGCCTTTAGGGCGAATGCGCGCGGCGCTAAACCGAGAGGCACATTTTGAACACGACCCGCCCTCCATCCTTGAAGCTGTTGCAGATTGTTGAGGCGATTGTGCGCGGCACCGAGACGAGAGACCCATTTTGAAAACGACCCGCCGTCTGTCCTTGAAGCTCTTGCAACTTCTAAGTTCTAAGACGAATGTGCGCGGCATTGCGGCGAAAGCCACTTGGCCCCCCATCGTTCGACATCTTTCATATTTTTTCTGTCTCAAGCCTCCTTCGGTCCGAGGCGAAGGCGTCGGCGAAGGCGGTGGGCGCGGCCCTGGCGCGGAAGCTCCGCCTCCTCGCGGAAGATGAAGAACACTGTTGAGTGGACCAGGGAGGTCGCGGAGTACACCTCGGTGGACGCGCCGTTCGCGTCGACGTGCCCGGACTTCGCCAGGTGGGTGGAGGCGGACGTGCAGAAAGGGATCTTGCGACATTGGGAGCGGGAGCCCAGCCCCTCAAAGCGGTCCTGGTGTTAAGTCGGGCCTGTCCCCCTACAGGAAGAATAGCCAGCGATAGTCAACAAATAGTGAGTTGTTTTTTGGTATTTTTGCGCATGTTTCTGGTATTTATATTTTTCGTCCAAAGTCCGCCTGTAGGGGGACACGCCCGACCTAATCCTGGTGGCGCTGGGGCCCCCACAAAAATGCATCGGACGAGCAGTACGCCTGCTGCGGGTACTGCCAGGAAGTGGTGGTGCACCATGGCCTCGACGGGGCCCTCCGACGGCACCTTTCCTCGCAGGGCGCGGTGATGGCGTCTATGCTCACTAGCGCGCTAAGGAGCGCGGCCAAAGAAGGTGCCGGCTCCCCGAGCGCCCCTTGATTCGTCGTGCTGGGGGCTGCGCTCTGGAGCCAGGTGCTGCGGACCATGCCCGGGTACTGGCGCGCCGACGGTGCGCTCGCCAGCCAGCCCGAGCAGCAGCTCAAGGGCGCCGCCGCCAGCGAGGGTGGGGTGCCTCCTCCTCCTCCTCCTCCTCCTCCTCCTCCTCCTCCTCCTCCTCCTCCTCCTCCTCCTCCTCCTCATTCATTCACCAAGAGTATGCGCGCCTGAGGCATTCACACACACATGCGAAAGGATGCATACCACACACGCACACATTGGTGTGTGTCTCGAGCACGCTCACGCTGCATCAGCTCGAGAAGGGCACGTCTCTCTGCTATATCTGATCAAGGCGATCAGTGTAGAGAACGAGGAGTGCCAACTGAGGTACAGTCAAGCCAAGGGCCCCAAATCACGAAGGAACCCGCGGCAGGTTTTGGTCCAGAACAAAAAGCCGCGCCATGGCGCGAGGAGGCCCATCAAGACCTGGGGCGGGAGGGCCTTCCAAGGCCCGACGGTCCAGCCAGCAAATTGTTTGGAGCCACAAGGGAAAACAGCTTCACCCGCTCTCCAGAGTTGGCGGGTGAAGGTAGTGGTGGTTGGGCGGCCGTCACACCACCTCTCCAAGGATTGAATTCCATTCCATGCATATCCTCCACAGGCATGGCCGATAAAGACTCCACTGCTCTTTGGAGGGGGCAGAGGGAGGCCCGACCCAAGGAAGACACAGGCCTCCTCGATCGCGTGCCCCTTGCCAGCAGCGAAAGCCTCGAGCTCATCAGTCACCGCTGGGCTGAGGGTGTGCCGCCGCTGCGATCGGGCCAGGATCGCCGACGGTCGCGGCGCTTTCGGGTGCTCCTGAGTTCCCACCCCCCGCCACCCCGCGTCCACGCCGTCCCCCCCGTCCCGACGCCGAGGAGGAGGGAGCGAGTGAGAAACGACAGCCTCTGCCTCAGCCATGTGGACATCCTGGAAAGCAGCCCACTTGGCGAAAGCCTCCTGGGGGGGACCTAACGCATTATATCCTGGGCTGGGATCTGGGTGGGGAGCGGTGCTTTTACCAGCATAAAATTCCGCCGCCCTGTTTCCCGCCCAGAAGAATTCCGAGACTCGGCCTTCTGCCACCGCGCTGTACAGGATGTGGGTCGTCACCTTGACCGCCCTCGCTTCAGGCAGGCTACGGCGCACTTCTTCCCAGATATGGCCTCTGGGGATGGCAGCACTGCAGGCGCGGCTTGGATCTGAAACACGATCGACCGTTCTCTGACAGTCAAAATAGAAGGCGACTTCACCCTGCACACACCCGCGTGTTGCCATTAAAATGGCCACAACTTCACCGTCGCGGGCAGCTTGGTACGAACCGAGGCGCCACGGCACGGGACCATACGCAGCGGCTAACATCAGTCCTTCAGCATTCAGCTGCACCAGGCTCCAGCCAGCCCTCCTTGCCAGGGGGCAGGTTGGAAAGATGGCCGAGCCATCCGAAAAAACTGATCCAGTCATAAAGCCACACTCTGGTTTCTGGACCCTGACAACCTCGGACCACGCATTCCAGAGGGGCCGCGGGACCCGCTCCAGGGGAAACGGAAAATGCCGCTGGCGGCCTTGTCCAGGTCCTGACCAGTGAGCTGCATGGGCGCGGCCTCAATGGGCATTCCAGGGGGGACATACTTAGCACGGGAGTCGTGCCAGTGCTCGTTAAGGAATCTCCGATGCCAGACCGTCCCAGAGCATTTGCCACACAGCTGGCAGACATCTGTGTCCGCTTTGTCATGCCTGGCTTGCTTGGCCTGGCACCCTTCCTGCTGGCTGCCCAGTGGTCTGGGCGTCTCCTTGTGTCGCATGGAGACCCCTTTTCTTGTCCTTATGTAAACTTTGTACAGTGGAAAGGCGGAGGCCAAGCAACTGCTTCATCGACAATCCAGAAACTCCCGAGCCCCACAGGGCCTTCGCGAGGGACCCAGCCCTCAGAATGCCTCCAACCTTGGCTCCCGCGCTTATGAGTTTCTGAAGCTTGTGTGACCGTCGGAAAGCTTTCATCATCCTCTTGGAAGCAATTGTGTTCACTCTCTTACTGCTGGCATGCGCGTCAGTATCCAGCGATTTTGTAGTGAACTCCCGACCGAAGATCAGCCTCGCCCCGTTGCTGGACAGGGCCTCCGCTAGCTCCAACGACGACGCGATGCCGAACTGGTTATCTGAGATGGCGCGGGGGACGAAGGTCCTCCTGATCCAAGCACGATCATCTGCAGGCTTGTCCAGGGCATGAACATCACCAGGCGCATCTCGAGCTGCGCCTTCACTTGTCGTGCTTGACTGTGGCGATGCATGCGCTGAGGGGCCGCTGGTTGCCCTTGCACTTGACGTCGCCTCCTGCAGTCTGGGCGCCGTAGACGGTGTCGTAAGCGGTGTAGTGAAAGCCGCCGTAGTTGCCGCCACCGTAGTTGTGGCGGACGAGCTGCCACAGGCCATGTCCACGAAAGATTGGGAAGCATCCAGCTGATGGGGGTTACAGTCACCATGGACTCCGTCAGCATCCCCAGGATGCGTGTCTTCAAAAATGTAGCGAAGCGCATCATCATCATGGCTACCCGTTTGCCTGCTCACACCAGGCTGCATTGCCACAATACTGATGCTGTAGTAGGGGAAGTTGTTGCAGCTGCCCTTCATTGCACTCGACAGAGTAACAGTCCAAATAGGGCACTGCTGATCTGATACCCAAGTGTGGTTGCTAGCCACTACACACAGGTTTGCCACTGGCCGCCTTGGAGGCCTGTTCCAACTTGTCCTTGGCCGCCTTAATCGTGAGGCTGGCCTTCTTGCTCGGGTCCTGGCACACTGGAGGCTCAGCTGCTGGTGCTGCCGCCGCTGCCCCTCTCGGAGTTGGAGGCTGTGCCGTTGTGGGCTCAGCCGCAGGTGCCGAGTCCTTCGGTGCTTCTGTCCCGTGCGTGGCCTCTGGATGGGCGGCCACTCCTCCAGGTGCTCCTTCGTCACCGCTGGTGTTGGACTTCCGCTTCTTGGCCGATAAGCGCTCCATGTGCTGTCGCTGCTCTTGTTCCAGTGCTGCCGCTTTCTCCCGCAGCGGCCCAAAGAGCGTGCCCAGCGCCGTCTTGAACTCGGCAGAGAGCTGTTCCTTCCTGCGCATTGCTTCTGCTCGGTCCTCTGGCGACACCACATCACCCAAGGCCTCGAGGCCAAACGTGGCACCGTCGTCCAGCAGCAGGTCTTCCCCATCGAGGAGCTTGGACAGGTCGATCTTGGTCGTGGGCGGCTTCGTGGTCTCCTCGCCCGCCACGATGCTTGTGTGTAGCTTGCGCACACAGACCTGGTAGTGGGCTCGCGCTGCATCCAACTGGTCGCTTTGTTGTCGGACATCTTTCTGCGCTTGCTCGACCTGGGCCTCAAGCTTTTTGCATTTGTCGACAGACTTGCTGACCTGTCCATGCGGGCTTTAGCCAGCTCCACCGACATATCCATGTCGAGCTTGCTCTGGCGGTGGTCATCGAGCTTCTTCTGGTAGGTCGCCGCGGCCGCCGAATCGCCTGTCTCGCTGAGTAGCTTGACCAGGCTGACCAGGCGCTGCTCCTCCTTGTCACTACCGTCAATGTCGATGGTCTCTGGCCACAGGTCGAAGGCCACCTGGGGCGGCGTGCGGCTGGGCTGCCGCTCGTGAGACGGCTGTCTCCTGGGTGGCAGTGGGCCCTGCCGCCAGGGATGGGCAGGAGCTTCGCGCCGACTGCCAGCAGCACCAGCGATAGGAGCAGGCGAGCGCCCGGCCCCACGCCCTGGCTTGGGCCCCTGCCGCGGTGGCGGCTCGGTCGGTACCAGCTGTCCGCGGCAATGTTTGCACCATCGCCACCAGCCGAGGTTCTTGCCGCAGCCGCAGGCCTCGCACTTGACCATCTCGTTGCTCGTGGCGTCGCCATTCATCTGCCTGGGCGGCTGCTGTGCACTGTGGTGGTCCTTCAACAAGCCTGCTGCCTGCCCCAGGCGCGCCAGCGTTCTCGACCACGAGCGGTGTCGGCGCTGGCGCCGATGCTCAGCTCCCTCCCTAGGCCTCGCCGTGGCGGCCGAGAGAGCGCACAAACAGAAAGGTAGCGCGGTCTTGTGGGGACGCGCGTGAGGTTAGCCTGGGAAGGGGCGGTACGGTCCCAGGTGTGTGCCCCTTGAGCCAAAATGGCTACGAACCCTCCTCCTCCTCCTCCTTCTCCTTCTCCTCCTCCTCCTCCTCCTTCTCCTCCTCCTCCTCCTCCTGCCCTCTCCTCCTCCCCCCTCCTCCTCCTCCTCCTTCTCCTCCTCCGCCTTCTCCTCCTCCCCCCCCTCCTCCTCCCCCCCTCCTCCTCCTCCTATTCCTCCTCCTCCTCCTCCACCTCCTCCTCCTCCTCATCCTCCTCGGTACTCTTCGATCCTCGTCGCCCCTGGAGCTCCCACCCCTTTGAGGTCTTCTTTTGGGCTCCAGGCTTGTCATCCACGAGTCGGTCAGAAGACAGGGGTTCAAGCGACCCTCGGTGGTTCCAAGATGGGGTCCCGAGGGATTGGGTCCTCAGGACGAGGTGCCTGAGACCACGTACCCTTGGATCCCTTCTTACCCTTAGGACCCCATCCCTCAGGACCCCATCTTGGAACCACCGAGACCCGATCATGCCTCTGTCCTGGTCGCGCTTCTTGGCCCCTGGCCTGGCGCTGCGGCGGGGCGGAGGTGCACCTGCACAGCTTCCGCAGGGGCCTCGAGGCGCCCGAGCACTGCAGGGACGCCGAGGTGCTGTCCGCTTTCCCGAGATCGCGGCAGGGCGCTCTCCGATGCTCGACTCGAGTAGATGTAAGAGTGACCTTTCGACGGAGTGACCTTTTGCGTGGGCCCGACGGGGTCTCCTGATCGTTGAGCGCGGAGTGTCAGCAGCGGCTTGCACACTCGGGCTTATTACGCCGCGCACCAAGGGTCACTCTTGCCTGGGTCACTCTTGCGTGCAGCCGGCCGGTGCGTCAGAGGATATCTCCACAACCGCGCGTTTCTCGTCGGTCTTCTTCGCCCCTCGCCCGCGACAGGACTGGGCGGTGCCCTCGTGCAGTGCCGCGGAACGTCTGGAGCCCTTGCATGCTGTGGCGTTCCGTCGGAGGACACGAGTCGTTCGCCCGATCAACGCATCCAGTCCAAGAGCCCCTTTCAATTCTATATGTTGCCCTTCTTCACTCTCTTTACCCTTCCCTCCTCCCTGTTCGCATGCTCTATCATAGCCGCAGGCAGGCTGTCGCTCCACTGGCCCACCCAGAGGACTTTGCGCCTGCCTGCAGCGGCGCGATGCGCCATGCGTGACGCTGGAGGAATTTGTTTTGTGGATGGCTGGTTGCGCGCCTCGCCGTTGATAGTTACCCGCTCCAGCCGGCTGTGTCAGCCACGGGGCGCCCATCTCGCTTCCCGTCGGACCGAGGCGGACGCGGTGCGCCGCGCCGATGTTAGAATGGGAGTCCAGCCGCTCTCGTCGTCCTCGTCTTCCCATTCCCCGTCCTCCTTTGCCTCCTCATCTGCGTCGTGTGGAGGGCGTTGTAGTGTCTTGCTTTGCCGTGCGTGTTCTGAGCGGGTTGCCGAAACGCTCCGTGATCATGGTCGATGGCAAGAGACTCCGCCGTCAACAACTTTCCAGCAACTTGACTGGCTCTCGAGCCGTAGTCTGAGACTGCCAGCAACCCTCCACCTCGAGCAGTCGCGGGCTCTTGCAACTCTGAGCTTCACCGCCCACCAATCCACCCCAACCCTACCCGAAGGCCTTGATTTGCCCTCCATTTCCAGTGGGGGGGCGGTCGGGGAACATTGAAAGACACGTGTGGAACCCGTACCCCCCCCAACCCGAAATTCGGGTCTTCGGGTTAGGTTGGGGTTGTCTGGTAGGCAGTCAGACCTGGGCCAGCCCGTGCCGGTCGGTCGGTTGTCGGCATTGCGGCTTGCTGATCCGTTTGCGCGTCTGTGCAGTTCTGCGGTGAGCAGTTCTGGGTCGCCCGCCCCGGGCGCGATTTTGAAGGACATTTGCGAACGCAGTTAGTGCTCGTCCTCCTCCTCCTCCTCCTCCTCCTCCTCCATTTTTATCCTTCCGTATTGGTTTTCTCTTTCGCCGTCGGTTTTTTTTCCTTCATGGGTTGTGCGTCGCATGGTGGAGTCCCTTGTTCTTCGGTAGGAGCTGGCAGTTGTCATCACCGCTGAACAGCTGCAAACTTCCAAAGCGACTGTGCGCGGCGCTAAAACGTGAGAGGCATTTTCAAAAAGGCCCGCCCTCCATCCATGAAGCTGTTGCAAATTTCAAGCTTTAGGATTCGGAATGGTGGGGAAGACTTAGGCGATACCCCCACAGGGAAGTTATTTATAAGGAACCAGGATGGAGGAGGAGGAGGAGGAGGAGGAGGAGGAGGAGGCGGATCAAAAAGGACCGAGGGGGGGGAAGCGCGGGGGGGGCCAGGAGCAGAAGGGAGGTGGATGGAGCAGGAGGGGCGCGGGGAGAAGGGGCGCGAGGAAGAGCAGCGCGGAGGAGAGGTGGCAGCGGATTAGGGCCCCCAGGACTACGGTCAGGAACTTTGGCTTAGCGTGTCGCTGCACCGGTTTTGATTCCACCACCCTTCGGAGCGACACGCGGTCCACGGCCCAGCCACCCGAGCGTCAGTGTCCCGAGCCTTTCCCAGCCTCCCGCCCCGCGGAGCGGAGCGACACTCCATCCGCTTGCAAGGCATGGCGTGGCGCCGGGGCCGCCGCCGCGACACGCGATCCCGAAATTCCCGACCGTGTCTCGAGCAGAACGGAGGCCAGCCCGAGGCCCCCCGAGCTGGAGCCTCCTACGCCTCCCTGGCCACCAGAGCTGCGGCGGGCGGTGCGCCCCACTCGGGGCGGCGGGCGGGGGGTGGCGGCTGCACCCGCGGCGGCCGCGGCCGGCGCCAGGCGCACCCGCAGGGGCTGGGCCTTCGCCCCCTCCTCCTCCTCCTCCTCCTCCTCCTCCTCCTCCTCCTCCTCCTCCTCCTCCTCCTCCTCCTCCTCCTCAAAGCCTCAAGGAGCGCCAGCAGGCTGGCGAAAGCGTCGACTTCAGAGCAAGAGGACCGCCACACGTGCAGGTCTGGGGGGCGTTCGCCATGAGTCTAGTGAATCAGATGGACACCTTCTTCGACGGCAGCGAGACCTACAAGGAGAGCGAAAAGAAGGTGTTCTACGAGTATTTCCTGAAGCACCTGGCCCAGAAGCTGCCGACGGATGTGGCCAAGCACGTGCTCCACTTCCGCTACAAGAAGTTCAAGACGAAGAAGAACCAGGACGGGGCCACGGTGGCGGCGGAGTAGAAGAAGGGCAGGCTCACCTTCGCCTTTTCGTACGACGAACCAGGCAGGGAGGCGAGGTCGCTGCTGATCCAGTTCTTGAACTCGGACAAGGCCAAGGCGACGCAGCTTGTGGGACCTGCCCCGAGGGGCCTACTCGAGCGCGAGGCGGCGAGGCTCCTCGCGATCTTCGAGAAGGGCGGTGGCAAGGACAAGGGTCAGTATCAGGAGAGCTGAAGGCAAAAAGAAAAAGGAACGACAGGAGTCGTTCGCGTGAGCGTGAGAGCGAGGGCCCCCCAGAGAAACGGTTTTTGAGTAGAGGGGCCTTCGCAGGCAGCGAACGACTTGCAGCTAAAGTTGCCCGGGGGGCCATCCCAGACCCCTTCGAGGCCACGAGTTTCGATGCATAGTCTAATCCCGATTTTCCCTCGATCCACCGAATAGTAGCGGCTAAACGGGTTCCACGCAATATTCTCACGCTAGACCTGGCGCGTCGGTCCCCTAGACGGCCCCCTTTCGTACGCCTGCGCGGCGTCTGGGGTTCGCCGTCGTCTCAGGGGCAGCGCTGGCCCTGCCAGAGGGGGTCCCCCCCTGTCTTTTTCAAGGTTAACCCGCTCCCCCAAGAAGTCGGGTTGCGCTGAGTGCACGGCCAGTTTTATGGTATGATCGAGTAACTCATTTGGACTCCCCGCGCATTGCTCATTGCTCATTGCTCCTCCTCCTCCTTTTCCTCCTCCTCCTCCTCCTCCTCCTCCTCCTCCTCCTCCTCCTCCTCCTCCTCCAGCTCCTGGAAGCCCTCGCTCTCTTCCACCCGTCGCCCCTTCGCATTCGAGTTGTTGCCTTGGTGTTCCAATTCCACCGCCTCCTCAGTGCAGCGAGGGGTGGCAGAGGAGACCAGAGTGTGTCAGCGCAGATTGCCCTGGCTATAGCAAAGTCTGCACGCACGGCCGTTGACCAGGTGCAGGCCTCCCTGCAGCGGTAGCTAGTCGGGTGGTCGGCTGGAGAACTCCTCTTTGATGATGATGTGCTGCCTTCTCCTCCCCCAGCTTCTCCTCCACCACCCCGTCCCCGTGCCGAAGCTGCTCGGGACCCCTTGCAAGAGTTTTCTGCGGACGCACGGGGCGCCACTAAGGGTTTGCTCCACGTCCGAGGACCACTTCAGAATCACCTGCGTGCGTGGGAGCAGCGGGGCGACAGAGGCAGGGCGGCCGCCGCCTTACACACAGGTCAGCCGATGCAGTAGGGTGTCCGCGGCGGGGCGCACAAGGGCAGCCCAACCCCGCTGACCGAACCCCTTCTTCCTGCCCCTGCTGGCCCAACCCCAGGCAACCACTAACTGTTTATTATTTTCCACCTTGTTACCCGCTTCTCGGCCCACACCCTGAGCGGGGCCGCTTCATTACCTTCCTCCACGCAGCCCCAATCCCCATCTCCCTTCCCACCTCGCTCTCCCGCTCCTCCGCCCGACCCCCAGCAGGCCCGCTCTACTACCTATGCTTTCCCCGTCTTTTAGGTACGCACTGCCACCCGCGTGGGGCCCGAACAGTGGGGGCAATGCACTGTGGAGTAGGGTGCCCGCCGGCCAGCCCGCCTCTGCCAGCCCGCTTCCGCCTGGCCACCAGATGGCACATCATGCTTATCATCACCATCACCATCACCATCATCACCATCATCATCATCATCATCAGCATCCTCATCATCATCATCATCATCATCATCATCAGCATCAGCATCAGCATCAGAATCGTACTCATCATCATAATCATCACCACCATCATCATCAGCATCATCAACGGCATGAAAAATCATAACCATAATCATCATACACATCAACACCATCATCATTACCACCATCATCATCATCACCACCTTCATCATAATTACCACCATCACCATCACCATCACCATCACCATCTCTATTACCATCACCATCACCATCACCATCACCATCACCATCACCATCACCATCACCATCACCATCACCATCACAACCACCATCACCATCATCATCACCATCACCATCACCATCGCCGTTATAATCGCCACCATCGTCATCGTCATCATCGTCACTATCGTCATCATCATCATTTTCATCACAATCAGCATCATCATCAGCAACAGCATCAGCATCATCATCACCATCATCACGACGTCGGGCATTGACACTGAACTCACGCGGGGCCCCCCATTGACACACAAACATGACGTCGGGCATTGAACTGAGATCACGCCGCGGGGCTGTCAGACGGGGCGCGCGCCTGGACCAGTCGACGGGCCAGACGGAGTGGAAGCCAAGGGGACGCCGAAGGTTCGGACACTGTTTTGTTCATCATTCCCCCCCCCCCCCACACCCTCCTCCCCTCCTCCTCCCCCTCCTCCCCCCCCCCTCCCCCCCTCCTCCTCCTCCTCCCCCTCCTCCTCCTCCTCCTCCTCGTCCTCCTCCTCCTCCTCCTCCTCCTCCTCCTCCTCTCTTTTACGAATCGTCATCTTACGCTAACCAGACGGAGCAGCTTCAGGGGGGGGGGTGCGTCCTGTGCCGACCTATGGCCGCGCCATCGTCATTTTCGGAGGGGGCGGCCTCCCACGTCGCTGCGTTGCTGGCCGCCAGGGCGGCCTAGACTCCGTCCGCGGAGGCCGCCCTCAAAGTTTTTTGAGCTCTGCACGAATGTCTTGGGTGGGCACAGGGCACAGGCCCCCTCGGGCAATGCAAAACTCATGACGCGAATTTTTGTTGCTATTTTCGGCCTCTCGTGGCCCCTACCGGCCCTCGAGACCGTGAAAAAACGACTCGGGATGAAAAACCGGTCCAGGGGAACGGGTCGAGACCTCCAGGGGTGGGCGTAATGAGAAAGTCATGACGTCGGGGCTCTGCGGACCCCTCCCCCTTCCCCCCACCGCGGCGCCTCCGGCGCCGCTCCCGGCGGCCTCCGAGAAGGAGATGTGTGTTTGGGTGGGGGCCTCCCGCGCCGACCCAAGAGCAGGGATCGAGCCAAACGGTGTTTTGTCGATTTCGTGGGCCGTTTTCGTTTTGATTTCGTTTCGCAGCAAAGGCATAACGAAGACAGAACAGAGGAACACGAACACAAAACGTAGACACAACACGCTGTTTAGCTCGAGACCTGCTCAAGAACTCCGGGCCCTTTGAAAGTTGTTGTTGAACCCGTGGTTCGGGGCCTGGCGGGCAACGCAGAATTTCGAAACAACTGGGCGTTTTCCTCATAACGTCCAGCAGCATGCCAGGAAACAGCAGTCTGCAGTTCCGACTCCTCCGTGGACACCCTTGGTCCCAGTAGAAGTTTTGGTTCAGGGAGCTTGCTAGGGTCAGAAGCTGCCCTGACTCACATCACCCAATACTGAACTGGCAGACTGATTTGTAGTGTGGCCCGCCATGCCATCTGCTAGTTCTCAGCTCGGCGACGACTTCGGATATGTTGGCATGGTGTTGACTGTCGGGTTTTTGCTCAGTCCGAGCCCGACATGCTTGCAGATAGTGAGGGCAAAGAGCACAGGACAGTTTTCCCCGGTGCCGAATATCGTAGGCGCGTTTAATTGCTCACTGTGGGTATACTATTGTGCAGTGACTATGGCGGGAAGTACGGAGAACTTGCTGCCCAACCTTTTAGTCAACGCCCTTGGTGCTTCTTTATTTGTCAGCTATACAATTGTCTTCATACTGTACTCCAACACCCGACGGATCGTAATTTCCCATGTGTCTCTCACCGTTGTCTTGTTCGGGCTCTTGGTGATGCTGTTTGAACTCATTGTGCCACACCTTGACTTAGACTTTCACTGGGGAGGAGACAGTGTCCCGCTCAAGTCCAGCATCTGTGGGATGGTTACTGACGTCTTGAACGTGGCCCTGTACGCTTCTCCTCTGGTTGTGATGAAAACGGTCATCAGAACGCGGTCAGTGAAGTATATGCCGCTGCCGTTTTCAGTTGCTACATTCGTAGTCAGCGCGACTTGGACAGTACAGGGGTTGCTGATAGGAAACATTACGGTGCTTCTCCCCAACGTGCTTGGCATGGCACTCGGTGTGGCTCAGTTGCTGCTTTACTCCTATTTCTGCCGCTCAGATGTGGTGCCTGAAGACGACGATCTGCATGTGCCCTCAGTGAGCCTGCAGCCTGCATGATCATCATAAGATACGGTGGGGGCATTCGTTAAGGAATGTGCCCAGGAGGCTGCAGACCTCGGAGGATTCCTTATCTGAAGAGGGCGGCGGTGATGTCTATGGCCAAAGCTCAATTGGTGCTCTCATGGGTTCCGGACCCAGGAATCATTATCCAAAGGTTCCTTGTCCAATGCCCCCACCGTAATGGGCCTGGCGTTAGCTCTGGCAGCAGTGGGCTTCCAAGAGATGAAGCGAACATCTTCCGTGTGTCGCCGTCTAAAGACATGACGATTCCCGCCGAGGTGAAGCTGGCTTGTTGCGGCTTGGACGGCGATTCCACATGTGTTGGCCCAGTGCAGTACGTTGTGGGTTCTTTGTCTGTGCAGGTTCACCCCGGCCGACCTTGACCTGTCGACCCGTCCTCAGTATGTGCAAGGGCGAGTGCGCGTAGCGGCTTTGTCCATTCGTCCTTACTTTTGTTGCGCGCACAGGCTGATGACTGATTCACACACGGGCTTGCACCGGTTCCAAACAGTGAACCGCTTACCGCTATTCATCCGAGCTCCGGTTGCATGTCAGTGCTAGCTGATGGTCGAGTGGCATATTTGCAGTGTGTAAAGGCGTTACTGCCACACGATCCTCAACACGTAGCTCGTGCACAAAGCGCGATACTGCTAGCAACGCATGAGAGGCAGCATAGAGCTGCCCTTGCATCGAAGGCCTAGTTCATTTGAGGGAGTTTCTGTGGAACTCACGTCATCTTCACCCCCGGCGCGTGAGGGAATGGGCCCGCCAACCGCCCCCCTTGTTCCATTTCCGGCGCGATCCGGCGACGACTGCCAAACCGGCGCCCTCGCGTGGGACATCCTCGCAAAACCAGCCCCCGGAGCCTCCCCGAGGAGGCCTTCCGAGGCCCCCCCTGTTCCATTTCCGGCGCGATCCGGCGACGACTGCCAAACCGGCGCCCTCGCGTGGGACATCCTTACAAAATTGGCTCCCCGGAGCCTCCCCGAGGAGGCCTTCAGAGGCCTCTCCCTCCCCCTCGGCCTCTGGGGCGGGGGGGGCGGAGAGGACGGAAGAGGAGGAGGAGGAACAGGAGGAGGAGGAACAGGAGGAGGAGGAG